CATCCACGCACCCACCCACACACATCCACACACCCACCCACACACATCTACACGCAAACACACATGCACAGGGGATGGGTGTGTTCGCATTGATTATTTTTCCCCCCCACTCTTGGTATTTTAGTAAACAAATTTTGAATACAATAATTATTACAGTGAGGTGTTGTGAAGCTAACACTGCTGTTTGATAATGCACCGGGGAAAAGTGTGATAATCAAATGGGAGGTGAAAATCGGGGGAAATCTATCTGCTTCTATGGGAAAATGTAATTTGAAGTGTTTTACCGATGAGTTACTGTCGGCGCAATATATATTTCGTTGTGTTGGTTTCTGGGAGAAGTAGTTTTTGCAACTCGTTTATTATTGCGAAAGCAAAAACAAGCACTGATAAATTAGCAGAGCATCTTTTTTTTCTTTATTTTTAAACTAAGGTTGCGTTCTCAAATACAAATCCTGGGAAGTGTGTAGCTTGGCCGGCATACAGATGCTGAGCACACAACATCAGCTACAGTTTCAGTCCAGTTCAGATAAAATATAAACATCGGTTTATAACAATGTCCTCTGCGCCAGCGTCTTTTTATTGAATTTCGCATGCAAATTTCAAGTTCTCTGTATTACAGAAAAAATCGAGAAGCGCTTCATGCGAAGCAGTGGGCCTGGAGGACAAAACGTCAACATGGGTTTGCGTTTAAGCAGCTGCACTTTATTTATTTTCAGCAATGGAATGTCCTTTTTGCCGTGAAGCGTCCACACACACACACACACACACATATTTTTGTACCGGTTCCGCTCCTCCACAGTTTTTTTTTTTTTGCTTGGAAAGAATTACATCATCAATACATACAAGCGGAATTCATTCCCCCTCAACGTTATCGGTGGTGCTAGATCTTTTTCTTTTATTCTTGCACACACAGTTTGCATTTCTCATGGAATTCGAAATGATCAGTGTGCTGATAAGTTTTTCAGTGAATACGAAATGTCAAATACGATTCAATTTGAACAAAGCCGATTGGCTAGGTGATAAAATACGGGAGATATTTCGGAAGCGATTTGCACGTCTGGTAAATAAGCGGTGCGATGTAATAATTTCGTCTGATAAAGCAAGAACCCAGGTAGATGAGGCATATTTTTATTCTGGGGCGGTCGGTTTTGCAATGAATTGGACAAATAAACATACCAGATCTTCTTCTGAGATTTCCAACTCTTTTTTCAAAATGGGTCAGTTGAGACAGTGAGTCATCACACTGCCAGATTCAGCGAGCACCCAGAAACATATTTTCCAAATCAAATTTCGCAGTTTGTGCGCCGTTTTTTCGATAAAAATCGCTTATTTTTCCTTGCGACATGCAGAAAGGGGGCAGATCAAGGCGGATCTTCGGAAAAGGTCGCCCCCATTGATCTTGGCAATTACTGGTTTCGATTGGAACTCTTGAAGCACTCGAATCTAATTCTTGTAGAACTGTAGAGTTGCTAAATTCTGGATGTTTACTATTGAATGCCTTACTGTGTTTGTCCACTGAATTCTTTACTTCATATTGGTACTGGGAGTTACAGAGTGAAAATCAAGAGGATTGTTTCAAACGCCTGGAAAGCATGCTATGGGACTGTAACAAAGAGCTTCTGAACAACAAACCTCCCACAAAACAAGATGAGCATATCATGGATGAGAGGTATAAGCTTATGAATTCGTCTACTTCCTTAACGTCTGAATTTCTAATAAAGCGGCATAGCAATGGGTGCAACAACTTCATCATATGTATTACCTCTGGACTCCTACTTTCCGTAGCTGAGTTATTTAGCGCCGCTTCTCTGAACTTTTTCATATTTTCATTTGTTGAAATTTAACAGGGCAAGGAAATCAGCTCAGCGAAGGCTGCGGGCGAAACGGGTGCAGTCGGAGAAGAAGAAAAATCGAGATCCATACGAAGTGATTTGAACCGCTGACTGTTTCACACTTCTGATGTCTAATTAGTACATTAAACGACATACTTATTGTGCGTGTGACAGAGTAATTCGGAGTAGTCCTAAATCTCGATAATAGTTTATGCCAGTCAAAATTTCGCTTCCTTTTTTATTTTAAAGCTTTACCATAGTGGATGTGCCCACTTGAAAACATTTTCTCGAGACTCTTTTGAATATCGGAGAAAACGATCATTGCTACATGGAAACTTTCTGCTTTCGAGGTCTCTGTGGAGATCACCACGTTTTTGCACCGTTGAAACGGGCAGTTCAAAACAACGATTCAAACATTAGCGGTTAAATTCATGGGACGTCGAAGCTCAGCAGTGGTAGCTTCGGCTTGCTGGAATCATCTATTTGAACATTGAATTCGTAAAATTTGTAAATACGCGGAAAGTAAAACCCTGGTTTTAAAGCTGGCAAACTGTAAGTGCGATTTCACTGATTTTACTGAAGCCTGATAGCAAGGACGGAGTTGTGAACTGGCCAGAAAGCTATCAGAGGCGTGCATTCTCATCGCCTCCGCCACGCTGCCGCATTCTTATGAAAATAAAGCTAAAATACGCACGAAGCTAACAGGCAACACTCTGGGAAATACATCGATACTCTACGTCAGTGACAAATCCTGATTTCAACAGTCCTGTGTCCAAAGTCCAAACCCAGAGCTTGCATTAACCTGTTGTTGGTTACTTCTTTTACTGAATGAACAATCTGATACAAAAATTACTTGTTTTTATGCGCTTTTGCATCTTATGCAAGTGCAATGAAAACGCATGACGTCGAGAGTGTGTATGTGTATCTGCGTGCATATTCAGAATTGACTGAACTTTGTTACCCACTTTCAACTCCCCAGTGGAGTGGACCGTGATGCAACACTATTGCCCCAGCCGATGCCCTTTTTTCCCCGTATACAAGAAAAAAATAATTGGCCAACGCACGGGCTGCCCGTGCGAAGATGCGTTTTTTGCATAGTTCTCCGCA